TCCGATCACACGACCCCGTCACTTTCCGATCACACGACCCCGTCACTTTCCGATCACACGACCCCGTCACTTTCCGATCACACGACCCCGTCACTTTCCGATCACATGACCCCGTCACTTTCCGATCACATGACCCCGTCACTTTCCGATCACATGACCCCGTCACTTTCCGATCACATGACCCCGTCGCTTTCCGATCACACGACCCCGTCACTTTCCGATCACACGACCCCGTCGCTTTCCGATCACACGACCCCGTCGCTTTCCGATCACATTGAATTATGGTGTAGATGACGCCATTTTGTTTTATCCCGCAGAGTTCGCAGATGAAGGTGACGTTCTGGGAGTCCTTGTATCTCTACCCCAGTTTTTATGTGTGTGAGGTAGGACATTTGTGTCTCATATGTATGTGATTGACAGCTGGAGGGACCAACCAGATATCTGGATTTGGCCAACCGCCAGCCATACATGCGGCAATTTATGAGCCTAACCCAAATCGCAGATACGGGATGTTGGGAGGAGCTATGCAAATAGCAACATGCTTTGATGGAGGGACGGGAATCCCGGGGATTCATTATGTGGCAGCTGTAAAAAAAATAATCTTACACTCCTCCATTTGTCTCTCTCTGCAGAATTACAACAACTTCACCGCCTGCCAGGCTCTCACCAACATGGTCATCATGAACGCCTTTTCTGCCACCAGCAGGGCCTTCGTATTATACAGCAGCCTAAGGTAAGTCACTGGGGGGGGCCCCGAACACGGACGTTATGACGGTCCCATACAGGAAGTTTAGTGTGCGCAGAAAAACTCTTCCCCCATTGCTACACAGATCAGCCCCCTGCTGCAGTCTCTTACCTTGTGACTGGATACAATGTTACAATGTTGCAGACTGATGGGGGGGGGGACTGAGGAAATGCTTCCTCCTGCCTGCAGCAGACTGATGACATCATCTCAGTCCAGGCAAAGTCATTGGCTCAGCTCAGGGACGGCTTTTTAATGAGAAGAGGCGTAGCTTGTCTGAACAATGATCCCGCCTCTGTACATTGTGATGTCCGGAATGTATTTGTGGAGATTTTTATTGTCAGGCCAATTTTATTATCTTTGCAGCGCAAACTCCTTTCTCCCTCCACTGACCTACAGCACTGCGAGCCAGCTGGGGAGCACAGCACCATCTAACCTGTCTTTCCTGAAGAACGCTCAGGTAGGATCACTCGTAAACTCAGTTGCACCGATGTGGTATGCGTGCGTTACAGGTATGAACTCAGAATGAACAGGCTGCATGCGATCTGATCCTATTAGCTCACAGTGCAATGTTTCCTGCAGCCTCGCTCTTTTTTTAGGAGCCTAGTTAAACCTGGGAGCATCATTTGGGATCCGGTTGCTATGGAGACCCACATTTTGGTTGTTAGCTCCTCCTCCAACTCTGGTAAAATGCACATTTTTTTGGCGAGCGTTATTGCAAACCGGCTTTTATTTTGAATAGTAAACCAGAAATTGCGCAATTACGCTGCTTGACCATAGAAGAATTCAACTGCCAGTCAGCAGCAGTCGGAGGGTGTAGAGGAGCCAGGAATGGGCAGGGGTCATGTGATCTCCCGCCGATTGAGAAAAACAATGAAATTCCGTCTCTGTATACACTGTGCGCACACTTATCAGGCAAGTGAGTATTTTGACCGAATCAACATTTTTATGCATATTATCCCTCTCCAAGCTGTATAAACCTGAAGTCTTATTGGATGTCAGCATATCAGGTGATGTATATGTGTGTAATGAGGGGGGGGGGTGTGGCCTAAGGAGTCCAACACACAATATCCAGGTGCGCATAATAATTAGTCAGCTTCTTTTCCTCGGGCAAAACGGGCCAAAAAAAGAGATTTAACTGACTCTGAAAAGTCCAAAAATGTAACAAGTCTTTCAGAGGGACGCGGCGCTCGGATATCGGGGCGCGATCACAGAACCATCCAACGTTTTGCTGCAAACAGTCAGCAGGGGCGCAAGAAACGCGCTGAGAAAGAAAGGCACAAATTACCTGCCAAAGATTTGGGAAGAATGAAACGTGAAGCTGCCAGGAAGACGTCATCCTCCAGCGGCCGTCATATTCCAGAACCGCGACCCACCTGGAGGGCCCGGAAGTGCAAGGTGTTCGGTGCTCAGAGACATGTAGGGCTGCAGCTAACGATTATTTTCAAAATCAATTAGTTAGCCGATTATTGAGTTCGATTAACGGGGAGGAGACGCGCAGTGCGGCGCAGCTGGGAGGAGAAGTAGCGTGCGGCAAGCCAACTAATCGAAATTCAACTAATCGATGATGGAAAATGTTAACGTTTTCCATCATCGATTATGAGACACGGCCAAGGTAAGGAAACCCGACCACCACTGACCACACGTCAGGACCGGGCCAAGGGATATCTGAAGACGGATCTTACAAAGGTTTTATGGACTGATGAGATGAGAGGGACTCTTGACGGACCAGGTGGACGGGCCCGTGGCTGGATCAGTAACGGGCACAGAGCTCCACTTCCACTCAGATGCCAGCAAGGTGGGGGGGGGGTACTGGTGGGCCGGTATTAATAAAGATGAGCCGGTTGGACCTTTTTCGGGTTGAAGATGAGACTCAAAATCAACTCCCAAACCTCCTGCCAGATTTTAGAAGACACTTTCTTCAAGCCGTGGTCCAGGAAATAGTCTGACCGTGATATGTATGCAGGACAATGCTCCATCGCATGCATCCAAGTCCTCCACCGCGTGGCCCTCAAGATGAAAAAATAATGACATGGCCGACCCAAACCCTACTGAGAACTTGCGGGCCCTTCTTACCCGGGAGATTTACGGTGAAGGAACACAGTGCACCTCTCTGATCAGTGTCTGGGGGGGCCGTGGTTGCTGCGGCACAAAAAGTTAATGGGCAACAGATGAAGAAAGGGACAGACTCCATGAATGGGAGGCTAAGGACTGACGGGCTCCATGGATGGGAGGCAGAGGACTGACGGGCTCCATGGATGGAAGGCTGAGGACTGACGGGCTCCATGGATGGGAGGCTGAGGACTGACGTGCTCCATGGATGGGAGGCTGAGGACTGACGTGCTCCATGGATGGGAGGCTGAGGACTGACGGGCTCCGTGGATGGGAGGCTGCGGACTGACGGGCGCCGGTGATGGGAGGCTGAGGACTGACGTGCTCCATGGATGGGAGGCTGAGGACTGACGTGCTCCATGGATGGGAGGCTGAGGACTGACGGGCTCCGTGGATGGGAGGCTGAGGACTGACGGGCTCCGTGGATGGGAGGCTGAGGACCTACGGGCTCCATGGAGGGGAGGCTGAGGACTGACGGGCTCCATGGATGAAAAGAAACAAGTGAGACGGAACATTTTCCTTTTCCATTTAGTTGCATAATAATCCCGCCCACTGATAGTCACCCAATCATTGTGCACACCCAAATATTCTCCTGAGTAAGCCAAAACCTCACTTTTACTTTCTTACATATTCAGGTTTGAGGTTTATGAACATTTTGGATGATGGAGAGCTCTGGAGTTGTTCAATAATGAAATGAATCCTCAAAAATACAACTTGCCCAATAATTGTGCGCGCAGTGTAATAAGAAGTGTCAGTGATGCGTCTTGCTGTGCTTCATGACAGATCCAGTTCCGGTTGGCGAAGTACGACGTCCGCGGAAATTTCCTCGGCTGGGAGACCCTTAAAGGGGGAACTTTGCAGGTGAGTCCGATCCACGGGGACGTGAGAGCCAATGGCTGCTGGAAATACCCCGAGCTGGCTCCAACTGCCAGTCACTTTGATAGTATTCTCAATACATTGTAACGGTAAAGTAACAATATATTTGAGGGTCGGGATGACGATGAGAGTTTGCTTTCCCTGTTTTTTGCAGATGTGTCCGAATACGCAGAGCACGCGGGACGCAGCGTTTAATTTCGGGACCTTCTACAGTCTGACCGTAAGTCACCATTTTGTTTCTGGAATCTCTTCATTTCTACCAGTGATGTCATCTCTCTCTCTCCCTCTCTCTCCCTCTCTCCCTCTCGCTCCCCCTCTCTCTCCCCCTCTTTATTGTTTCTCTCTCTCTCTCTCTCTCTCTCCCTCTCTCTCTCTCTCCCTCTCTTCCTCTCTCTCCCTCTCTTCCTCTCTCTCCCTCTCCTCTCTCTCCTTCTCTTTCCCCCTCTCTCCCCCCCTCTCTCTCCCTCTCTCCCTGTTTTTTGATACATTGTATACAGTTTCATTTGTTGCTAGGATACAGACGCAGGTTTGACAGCCGATCATCAAACTGCAAATAACTTCTGTTCAGGTGGACTCCATCCTCATCCCTCATTATTATGTTACTTTGTATATTATATATAAAGTTTGGGATCTCTGACACTAATGGACGCCACATCTGAAGCTCCTCCCACTGTCATGATTCCGCCATCGGCCCATAATAATGTCATTCTCTTCCCGGTGATTCCAGTGTTCGCTGTCTGTGTCCGATCTCTTCCAAGCGGTGCCGGAGCCTGTATTCTACGAGCTCTTCCTCCCCTATACCAGTACCAGCGGTGCCAGCATGCTGTGGCCGATACCGGTGTGGAATGCCAACATCCAGGGCAGCTCAGGTGGGTCATAATCAGTGAGATTTGATGACACTGCGAGGAAGGTTTTATTATATATATATATATATTGTGTCAGCAGCAGACAATGCCGGTAGGTTGTATCCCCATGTGACCTATGGAGCCCAGCAGTGAGATTTCACCACCAGCATTCACAGTTCTGCCAATTGTCACAGCTCTCCCCATCACAGATACTACTGGAGGACATCTCACCATTGTGGGAGGGGCACAGACACAAACTACTGGGAGGAAATCTCCCCATTGTGGGAGTGGCAGAGACACAAACTACTGTGGGAAATCTCCCCATTGTGGGAGGGGCACAGACACAAACTACTGGGAGGAAATCTCCCCATTGTGGGAGTGGCAGAGACACAAACTACTGTGGGAAATCTCGCCATTGTGGGAGGGGCAGAGACACAAACTACTGGGGGAAATCTCACCATTGTGGGAGGGGCAGAGACACAAACTACTGGTGGAAATCTCACCATTGTGGGAGGGGCAGAGACACAAACTATTGGGGGGAATCTCACCATTGTGGGAGGGGCAGAGACACAAACTACTGGGGGAAATCTCGCCATTGGGGGAGGGGCAGAGACACAAACTACTGGGGGAAATCTCCCCATTGTGGGAGGGGC